CCACCACAACTGAGATGTCTCAGAGGCAACTAAGGAATTTCAAATTTTCCGATCTTATAGTGGATTTTGGGTTTTGTCCAGAAAGGATAATTGATCTGATGTAACTGAGTGGCTGCTCAGTATCTCTAAAATTGAGTCCAACATACTCTTCCTACAAAGTACTTTCAGCCTTGTCTCCCTCATGTTCAGTGCTCCAAAATCTCATCTTAATCTGAATCAGTAATTGCTTGCATCCACTCAAGCTAAATGTGTACACTTCTTAGCTTACAAACACTTAGACTTCTTGACTATTCACTTAGCTAAGGTCCAGTAACATGAGAAGCACATTAAGAGCCTGAAAATAAATTGAGGCACATACAGAGAAAAGATTCTCAGAGCAGTGGAAACCTAGGACATCAGTTTAGCAGTTCTCAAGCTTAGTAATAAATATAGATTTGTCTACAGATGTCATCACTGGAGACTGGAGGGGGGGAAATAGCCAGACTTTTCCATCCCCTAAAATATCCTAATGAAACATTTGGTGGAATTTAAATAGGAAAACATTATGCTATGCCAGGAACAAGTTTTACTTTCTAATATTTCTTTGAATTACATGATAGTAGTTATCAAAAGATGTTTGTGGTGTGAAAATACGTGGGTTCGTTTTGCTTAATTTTTTCCCCCAAGATGATCATGTTGAAACTTGTGGTCCTTGCTAGATCTTAAAAATTATTAAGCACTTTAGGAGACAAGCTTTTGTTTACACTGATACAGATGGCTGGAATAAATTAGTGGACTCACTAAAGAACAGCTCATTTTTAGTTTTAAATGCATTTGGGCACTTATCAAAGCTCACATGGTGGCCATTTTATGTTACTTATTCATCTATTTGTTCTTTACAATTCCATGCCCACAGGCTACATCTGAAAATGGTCAGAGCTTCTAATAGAATTAATAATTGTCTCTCACACCTAAAGAGCGTTGGTACCACTGCACTGTGGCATACCCTGGGTTATCCTGCGCAGCTATTCTCTCTGAAGAGCACTGAGAGTAAATCCAATTGCAAACAAGCAGATTAGAAAGGCAGTGCATGTCTTCACTACTGTGAATGTTTTAAGTTAAGCATTTTCCCTAAATTGCTGAAGAAATGCACAAAGTTGTAATTATATACTGCAACATCAATGCTGCTACTTTGGGAGAGGTAGTCAGAGCAAGCTTCCCCAAATTAAATCCTGAATTCCAGTCCTCCTGTACTGGATTAAGATGAGTGAGGACAAAGGATTGGCATAGTTACTCTATGGCTCTTTACTTATGGACCTTTCAGAAACAGTACAGTAAAGCCTCTCGCCTTCAACTTTTTCACGTGTATACACTTGTTTCCTCCCTAACACCAGTACAGTGAAGACATGCAAAACAAGTGTCCTCAGAGTTGATGAACCCACACTGGAATCAGCAGCACAACTTCTTTCAACTTTAATAGTGATTTGCCTTGTCCTGGGAAAGTCACCACTACTGCTACTATGACTCCTAGCATAAGGGAAGAAATCAAAATGAAGTTGTTGGGAGCCTTCAGAAGCTGCTTGTCATCTTCATGGCATTTTCTTGCTAATCCCATTTCTCTTGGACTTTCTGCATACTGGATATATCACCTTTACACTGTTGAACTTGGCTGAGCCAGAGAGGGCACAAGCGGCACGTAACTGAAATGCATATCTTTTCACTGTCATAGTGAGGTGCTCGAAGAAGGTAAAAGAGCAACTTGGGTGCAATTCAGGCTTTTCCAAATCCTATGAATTTGACAGATGAACTTGCTTAAGTGTAAAGAGTAATCTGGACTGCTAATTCAGATGCTGGGAGATGCTGTGTGACTGTAATCATCACTCTTCATCAAATGCAACGAATGAGGAACCTGGTCCTGGAATAAAAAAAGCATGGGATTAAAGAGGTTCAAGGTACAACTACACAATAAATTAAGGTTTGGAATGTCTGTCTTTCTAGAATTTGAATGATGTGAATCAGGGGCAGTTTTGATGAAAAAGTGGGGAGCTGCTCGTACTATATGTCAGTACACTGAGACCTCTAGGCTCCCTAATACATCACTGCCAGAATTTGAATGTTGAACTTTCTGAGTCTACAGTTTACCCTTTAAATTCACATACTAACTACTGCAATGGCTGGAGGAGGAATCTTTTGTGTTAGATTGCCGGCTGTGTTCCTCAAACCATTTGAAATTGAAGGACATGTCTTTTCTCACTGCCTGCTGCCCCGTCCTCCTTTGCCCTCCCAGTGGGCAGCCATTTCCAGCACAAGGCTGTTGCTGCTCTGGTAGCAGTGAACACCTGAAGCTTTTCTGAGAAAGTTCACATGCAATTATTTCTTTGGCATGTGAGCAGATTTTACCTGAAGAGCACAAAGAACAAAAGGTTAATGGCAACTTTCAGAAGTCCATAACTCAACCAAGCCTTAACTGCATTTCATGTCAGAAGTGAAAGTTAGGCCTTTAGCATCACTCTGTTTCTGCTGCTTTCAAAATCCTGCCAGGGGGAGAAAAAACTTTAAAATCAGAGGCTTAGCACTTCTTTATGAAAAAACCCCAAACTATATCTGGGCTGTGTAAAACTTGTCTTACTGAATTTTTTTATAACTCTTACTTTATAAAAGAGGAGGTACTTGTATTCTGATGAATGTTGTGCATGTCTTTCTCTGTCTGTCCATTTATTTTCTGAAACAAAGTTCAGCTGTAAACATGCTCAGTGCTGATAAAAGCACTATTTGCCACAGCTGAGAATCCAGAGTTCAAATGGGTGATCCATGGAAGACCAGCCCTCCTGAACTGCTGAGGAAAGCTGGCAAACAGCAGCAGGTGGCATAGCCTGGCTGACTGCTGTGGTTTAATGGCAGTAAGTTGATCCTCAAGAGAAATGTGTAGGAACAGAAGTAAGAGGAGCCATGAGTTATAGCAGGGTATTGTTAGGTCTCTAAATCCCTTTCTCTGACCTGTACTTCTTGGCAGAATAGGTCTTGCTTCATTTGTAAGGAAAACTGCTTCTATGAAATCTAAATGGTGTTACTGTTTTCTAGTTTCACAGGTCAAAAATCCTGCAGGTGTCAGGGTTCATTTGACTTGCTAGATTACATGAGGGTAACCAATGATTTGTAACTTGCAGAACAACAGAGAAGATGGGTGTAATGCAGAGCTCAGTGTCTGCTGCTAGTCTCTTCTAATGTAAATGCTCCTTTAGAACAAATGGAGGAAAACTGTAAGTGCTTGGACACAAAGCAGTTTATCATTACATATGCATGGAAATAATCTTTGTGAAAATGACTTAGACTTAATGCACTTGCACAGTCAATATACTGCTGTAGGTCAGGAACAAATGCAACTAGGAAACTCCCCAGCTAGCATCAGAGACCACTGAGCTGCTCTGCAATGTCAATATTAGTGAAATGAACCAAAGACTCTTGGATTTGTTAGAGATAAGTACTCGCAATGCAGGAGATCCTGCTTCTGATTTTCCTGCCAACAGTTTAACTGTTTTCCACGGGTGATTGTAATCAGCAAGAATTGTTATGCAATAGTGCTGAAGCAAAGACTTGAGAAAACACAGATCTCACTTGAGACACAAAAGATCACAGCCTTATTTCTCCACATCTTACGAAAGAAAAAAAAAATCTCCACTGGGCCTCTCAAAAGTGCTCATTTACAGAGATGGAAAGAAACCATTTTTCTTTACCTTGTAATTATTTCTCCATGCTATTCTGTGAGAGGTTTTCTCTCTGGAGATGTGAAAGGAAGAGAAAAGGCAAGCCAATTCCCTCCTGCACCCAAAGGGTCATCAGTGTCCAGAAGCTACACTCACTTTTTCCAGGCTTTTTGTAAAGCAAATAGGAGTAGGAAGCCCTTTTTTAATCCTCTTTCTATTTTTTTTTTATGCTCTAATAAAGAAGGGAGAATGAAAGCTAACTGGTTAAAATGAGTGCTATAAAGAGCATGTTGAAGAGCAGATCTGGGGTATGTTTTGAGAAAGGGAGAAAGAACCCAAGAAGTGTCTGGCACACATTGGAAAATTAAAGATTAGTCTTAAACTTCTCTGTTCTTGTGAAATGGTGATAAAAACTGTTGTATTTTGGAGAATCATAGGTGTGGCTACTTGAAAGTGCTGTCTAGAAACTGATGTTACAGTGTTTGGCTTGTTTGGTGCTTTTTGGTTTGTTTGCTATTTCTTTGTTGTGGTGGTTTGTGTTAGGTTGTTTTGTCGTTCTCTCCCTCCCCCCCCTGCCCATGGAGAATACTTGCTTTTGCTGGTTTTGTGTTTTTTAAGGTAGCAGGGAAGGTAGAACTTCTTTGTACGTTTGTTGCAGTAGGAATATTTATTTCAGTGATACCATAAATATTGTGTTTCTGGTACCAAACAATCGCAATGTTTGGGAGGAAAACACTGAAGAGCTCACAAAGGCAGTGACCGGGCCTGTTGGCTTTCCTGGCACTTCCCGCAGCAGGATGGCTTCTGGGAGGGGCGTCTCCTGAGCAGGTGGGAAGGCTCGCTGTCCCAGTCAGGACAAGAGTGAAGGTTCGGGGACAGCCTAGGCCAGTTGGGCTGGGAGAGTGTATAAGTGTAACCCTGGGAAGGGTCCACCCCTCTTTGGGCAGGAGAGGGTCCGTGGCCCCAGGTGCAGCACTCGTAGCGTGCAGGCTGCTCCTCTGGGATTGTCATGATAAACACCCAGGGTGATCTTTGGCCCTCTCCGCGCAGTTTCCCTTCCAGGAGGTGCAGGAGACCGGGTGTGCACGTGGTCCGTGATGGGGAGAGGCACATGGACTCCGGCCCTTTCCCGGCGGGGCAGTGTGTGCCGAGCCCCCCGTACAGGACTTCCCTGCCCTCGGTGCCCGCTGTCCCCCCGCGGGCGGTGCCGGTCCCGCGGCACACCTGTGCCCTGCCCCCGGGCGGTTCTGCCCCGCGGCGCGGCCCCGGCCAGGCGCGGGGCGCGCCCGCCCACCTGGGCGTTGCTGCCCGGGCTACCGGCTCCGCCTCCTCCCGAGCTCCGCTCCGTTCCACTCCGGGACTGCGGGGAGCCGGGGGAAGGCGGTGGCGGTGCGGACACCATGGCTCGTGTGCTGAGCCGGGACCCGGTGGACATTGAGGTACCCACTCGCCCTGCCGGGACGTGCGGCTGTCGCTAGCGGGGAGGGGGCTCTGCCCGGCGGCGGCGCCCGGGCCGGGAGCGCCCGGCAAAGTTTGGCGGCGCTGGGGGCCCCGGGGCTGGCCTGCCGCCCGGGAAGCCGCGGCCCTTGCCGGGACGGCCGCCGGGGCACTGCCGGGCGCAGCGCTCCGGCTGTGCCCGTGTGCCTCCCCGCCCCGGGCAGCGCGGCAGTCGCCCGGCCGAGGGGTGTGCGGGGGTGGCGCCCGGCGCCTCCCCTCTAGTCTCCGCTCCTCTCACTCTACGGAGAAGTCGAGGGCAGGGTCTGGCCGAGCCCCGTCTCCCCGGTGGGGTCGGTCTCCCGGTTCTGCCAGGGTTCCTGCGGGGCGGCGCTGCTCGGGGGCCGTGACCTGGTGAGCCCTTGGCGGCCTCAGGCTGCCAGGCTGGTGTTCTCTGTCCTGCAGCTGCCTGTGGGCCGGTGGAGATGTGCAGGACCGCAGCTCTTCGCTGTCCCACCACGGGCCAAGCTGAGCGCACGGGCTGCACCCAGTCTCCGTGGACTAATGCAGTTGCATGGAAGGCTGAGCAGGATGGCAGGTTCAAGTGGCTTGCTGCACCTGTGGCACTTAATGTTTTTGTATGACATTCCTTGCTTCAGGTCTAGCTGGGATCTTGGAAGTAGGTTCGGGGCCTGCCCTGGTGCGAGGTGGACTGACCACTGCTAGTGCAGTGGAATATGTGGTGAACTCCTGCCCATGTTAGCCAGGTTGTATGGTTGGGCTTCAAGGTAGCTTTTTCCCACCCTTCACAGGACCTTGCATATGGCTGTAAACTTCAGCTCTTTATGAAGAGTCTGGAATAAACCAACTTGCAGTTGATAGTCTTGTTCTTGCCTGACACAACTTTTTGTACCTTACCTTGAAATGTAAGGTACTAAGTTTAGGGTGGGCTGTTGCAGCTCACTGAGGGCCGAGTCATAATACCTGAATGTGCACAGCAGCAGCTTGAACACATCTCTAGGTCAGTTGTGACTGAATTTTATCATCAGTTCTCATATTGAGTTTTTGTGCCTAGTCCATTTCCTAACTGATCGGCTGCTCAAACCATGACTCATGTCCAGAAGTGGAATGAGCAGGAAGAATGAACTATAATAGAAGTCTTCTTGGTAGTTAGGGAGGCACTGTGGTATGAAATCAGTACTGTCTTTCACCAGCTCAGTGTTTTCAGAGCAGCCAATCTGGGATTTTTTCAAGGGTTGAAGATAATTTTTTTATGACAAAGGATTGATTTTTAGTTGTACAGGTTTTGAGTATTTTCCTCAAATTTTTAATGCAAAATATTTCTAGTGTTACATTGTTTTGCATTTCTAGATATATGACTCAGATTCAAAGAACAATATTATGATAGGACTGTGTATTGGTAATAGTATGCAGTACTACATGATTTAGAAGACTGATGGATTTTGAAAAGGCTAGCGTTTCCTTTACTCTGAAGTTGCAAATAGAAACTTTGGTCAGCATCTTGCTGTGTTTTTGTTTTCATCAGTCATTTGAACTAGCAAGGAAATCAAGGCAGTCTACTTCTTACCAAATGTATTGTCCTTTCCCCATCTGTTCGAATAAATTTAGTCATTGTATGATTTGTCTCTCAGATGAATATATCAGTAATTGCGGATAATCTAATTGTAGCCCTCCGTGGTGGTGTTTGGTTTTTTCTTTTTCCCCTGCATAGAACTTTTTTTTTTTTTTGGAGAGGGGGAGGTATTTTCAATAAAATGTATTTTATTTTTATCTTTGAAGTAGGGACAGTGTGTGTTAACTAAGTTTATCATTGTAGGTAAATATTCTCAGTAATTTGTTTGTTGAGGGGAGCAATCTATCAACATGAGCACTGGCAGCACAACTTGAATGTTTTGGTCAATTTCTTGGCTACAATATAAAAACTGAACAAGTGATTTAATGAAACTTATCTCAGTGGTTAGTGTCTCAAATTCAAGTTCATATAATTAAAATATTAAATATGATCTTCGAAGTCCAGGTATTACTTGATAATTTATATAAATAGTTAAGGCTGAATAAAAAAACATGTCATTCATTAAAGAGGAGCTGAGAATCTGTGCTAGAAGTAGCTAAAATCACAGCCAGTTCTCCAAGTTATTTTACAAAAGAAAAATTCCAGGAAGCTATCTCCAAGGAATCTTGTCCCCCTTGTTCAGCTTTGCCAGAAGCTTCAGCCTAACTAAAGAAGATAAAGGAATTATATAGATAATCGTGTTCTGAAAGTCTGCTTTCCATATTGTGGGAGACTAGGTGGGTTGTGATTTAAGTATATGGTGGTCTCCATTTATTTATTTTTTTAAACACTATAACTGCCACAAAAATAGCTCCCAAAATACCAAAACAAAACACCAACTCCACCTCCCCTCAACTACTGCCAACCCCACAAACTCCAAACACTGCCTTTTTTCGAATACAGTCAACTGTCAAAATGTGCTGTTAATATTCCTTGGATGCAGATACTCTAAGCAAAAGGAAAGAAAGCCTGTTCAAAAATGGCTACATGTGAAAGTACCTACCTTGTATTTATGGTACAAGGACTTGCCTTGGATTTTTATTTATTACCTCTCTAAATCTTTGTAAGAATTTTTGAAATCTACATTTTGAGGAAAGCAGTCCCTTTCTAACTTGTAATGTGAAACTATGTGCAATGTACATGCAAGATCCAGAGAATGTTTACAGACTTCATGTAAACTTCCCAGTGATACTTTGGGAAAGAAATTCTTTTTTTTTTTCACCTTTCCTTTTGTTTTTACCTGATTCCTTCCTATCATTGTGTATAAGCCATATGTAATTATATCTATTGCAATCTTCAATTGGGAAGAATTGGGAAGAATTGGGAGAAGAATAAACTTGACAAGTGAAACTTGCTTACCTTGCTGTCATAGTCCATGATGCATAGCACCTGCTAAGTATATATTCCAGGGAATGAAGAACCATCACTTCTATCAAACCTGCTACTTCAAACAGTATAGAAACTGCAGGTTGTACAATAAGGCTTCCTTGAAGCTTATGAGCACTTCCCTAGTGGCCTTTACATGCAGCAGGAAACATAAGAAGTTCTGTTTCCCTAACTGATCCTGAAACCAGGTGAGTCCTTTGAGTTCAGGCATGCTGTCTGTAGCCTTAGTGAGCTGCTCAAATAGCCTATAACCTCATTCCGCATTCCACTAGGCACTGAGGAACTCCTGGAGCCACCTGTGTCCTCACTAAGGGCTCAGTGGGCGCAGTCTGGTCCTTAAGAAACATTCCTTTGCACCCTGAAGTTAATGTTGTTTGTAAAGCTTTTGTTCACAATAGGCAATAGCAATTTATTTATACCTATGGATTACACCACCACAGAAATAAGAGCACAGTGAACAAAAAGCACAGCAAATGTTAGATTTCTAAAGTAACACCAAACAAAGATGCTTGGGATGAATTTTATAACTTCTACAATAAAAATATGTGACTTAAGAGCCATCTATACTGTCTGAAGCTAAATGAAAAGAAAGGTTGACACAGTTTATAGTGACAGTGTTCATTGTATTATAAGTGAAAGTGACACAAATTTACCCTGATAATTCTCAGGCAATTCCCAGATTGCAATTTCAGAACATGGCTCTAGCCCTTCACACCTTTCACTTTATTCTCACTTCTGACATCAGTGCTGGGGTGGAAACAGCTGTGACAACGTTCTAGGTACCCAGCTGCTGGTCCAACAGGGAATTACCCATCAACACCCAACTCCCTTTTAAACGTATGCAACAGATGATTCAGAAGGAAGGTGAGATCTGTGAAGTGCCAACATACTCTCCACCTCCTGTAAGAATGGTAACACTGTTTTTCGCACTAAGTTATGTTGGGGGGATGGGTTTTAATTTACTGTCAACGTTTCAGGTTTGTGACAGTGTGGCAAAGCATCTCTGCTCTGCTGGGAAGAAGCCCTTACCAATGAAGGCTGGGAGACCTACTCTCACTAGCTGTAGTCTGGATGGCAAAGAGTTATAAAGTGTTCGCCACCCAAACATCACCGAATGAGATGACTAGAGAGACTGCAGAGAAAACTAGAATGCAGTCAGGAAAACACAGCACACAGAGACCAATACTCAATAATGTCATTCAGGATTCTACTCAACGCTTCACAGTTTTTCCATTCATTAATTTCCAAGTACTTGATTTGGCAACGTTAATTCTTCATATTCTCATCAAATGGATGAGAACAGTGAAAGACTGCAGGTAGAGAGGTGTGTTGGAGAGCTAAGCTTGTTTTGCTCAAAGGGGGAGGCAGGGCAGGGATTGAAAAATAAGAAGTACTGTTAAAACACAGGAAACCTTCAGCAAGATAGCAGGTAATTCTACTAGTCAGCATGGCTCACAAAACTGTCAGGCAAAAGTTATGTGAATAAATAACTGAAGCAGCTTCATTTGATCTAGGCTAAACTTTTATTTTTAAAAGCTCCAATTATTACAATGTTTCTCTCTGTTGTAGATACCTGTTAGTTGTTTGAAGTTCCATAATGAAGCTTTAGTATGTAGAATGTTTTTATGCTGTTGCTTTATAGCTTGTTGTGATGATCAGATGGCTGTTCCAGATTGATGGCTGTGTCTTCCTAGGGTCATTTAACAAACAATCAGTGAGGAAACAAAGCTTCCTGTTTAGCTGTTTTTGTTTAATGAATTTCTCAAGCCTTTTCATTGTTTTAGAGGTTTTATTATAGTAAACCCTTAGCTGAGTGGAACAGCAATTACAGCATGATTGCTAAGACCTCATGGAAGATTATGGACCACAATTACCATGTCTGTCTTAGAGGATTGAACAATATGATTTACTCATCAGGTTAAAATTTGATCTGGCAAGTAGGAAGGAAAGTCTTCTGTATGAAACATTTTATCTTTTTATGTTTTATGTGCAAATCCTGTTGATGCTCAAGGAGTTATGTATGGTCTTGCCTCCACTGCTGATAGT